GCCGACATAGTAGCTGGAACCAAAGTCTGTCAGGGACGTCAGGAGGCTGGGAATTCATGCTGAACGCAAATAAACTACGTCTTTGTTGTGCAATTTCATATTAATATTCAAACTATAACATGGTGCATTCATCACCCAATTCGGTTTGCATTAGTATGTAATGCATGATTGATAAAGAAACAGCCACTGATTTCGCATTGACAGGGTTTTTGATGCATCGTGCGAAGTTTTGGGATTTCAACAGGCAGTATCGTTGAGATGCCGCTAATTCATTTTTTTTGTAGAAAATCACTCATATGTTCGTCGAAATCTGTACATTCTTGGGTTTTGAGACCTTGTCTTATGGGCGGAGAAACACAACTGAAATAAATAATAAGTCTTGAGTTTTTAAGGATGAAAGTTGCGCACCGTAATCTTAAGAAAATCTTTCAGTACGGAGATGACACAAATTTCTACTTATTTGAATGCGTAAAAAATGCACCCATAATGAAAACACCAAAACCACACTCAGCCCTCAATCACATCTGCATTAGCAGCGTCCCACCACCTAATAACTCGATAGTTACGCAGGAATTTGTTTTTTTACGGCTTGAGAGAATTCCTTGACAGCAATCCTTCCCCAAATTTTAAGGCGTCTTCCGTCATTGCACATCTGAAGAACGTCAGTGCTGTCTGTCAGTTGGTGTGTAAATATTCTATCATGTTCGTGTCGCATATGCTCCAGAGGTACCCCGTCGCGCAAGTGCATTGTCAGGCGTCGTGAGAGTGTCGTGTTTACGCCAAATTCTATGTCGAGCAAAGTGTGCAGCCTTTGAGATCATATTTGAACTGTTGCACTGCATTGGTGCATTTAAGCTTGCTGGGTTTTTAGGGCTGCTTTTGCTAAGATAGTAGATCTCCTGTTGCTATATTAAAGGACATTGTCTATGCCGTGGTCGCTCTGGCCTTCCCCTTTACCTGTCGAGAAGAGATTTGCCGAGAGCTTTTTCATCTTGTTTGTAGGCACATGTCGTTTGATCTTAATAAGACAGTTGAATGGTTGTTTGTTTGTCTTGCCTTGATCTGTTGTCAAAGTATTTCATCATATGTCGTACTTCGTTTTCAACGTCAGAATTGAAAACCGTTAGTCACCAATATCTGTTTGACTGAATGAGGTCCTGTCCATTCAGAGCAATGCTTAAATGCACGCATAAGGAATAATCTTACCACGCTAATTTTGTAGTATCGGCATTTACTGCCAGCATTTAAACACCGTCCGCTGTTAATATGCTTTCGTCATACAAAATCGTTCCAAATCGCGGTCCTTGCCCATTAAGCGTCACGTCAAGAAAGGTATTACATTCTGCACGCTTAGTTGTCTCGTGAAATGCTAAGCCAGATCGCTCTTTCAACGGATTTTTGAGACGCTCTAGTTTGTCAGTGTCCCTACTCTCCCCAAAATATATCGTCTACATAACGACAGTTTATGTCCGGTCTTTCCGAATAAATTAATTTTCAACGAACAGGCTTTTAGTATTTGTTCAAGAAGGCACGTCTAGATTCTGGGAGAAGCAACTTCAGGAAACTTTGCTTCATTTTTCACTCCATCTCTGTGCTCTCCTCTTGCCTTGCTATTCGGTTATCATTCTCTCTCTCTCTCTCTCTCTCTCTCTCTCTCTCTCTCTCTCTCTCTCTCTCTCTCTCTCTCTCTCTCTCTCTCTCTCTCTCTCTCTCTCTCTCTCTCTCTCTCTCTCTCTCTCTCTCTCTCTCGCCCCTCCCTCTGTCGCCCTCTCTCTCGCTCTCTCTCTCTCTTTCCTCTTTCTTGAGCGCTCTCTCTCTTTCTCTGCCTCTCTCTCCCTCCCTCACTCTCTCTCACTCTCCCCTCCCTCTCTCTCTCTCTCTCTCTCTCTCTCTCTCTCTCTCTCTCTCTCCAATGCTATCAATCTAAAGCGAAGATACATTCCCGTGGCCTCGTCACGGAAAGAGAACGTTCAGCACGTTCGTGTGAGTACGTTAGAAACGATCACATACCTGCCGTTGGCTGGCAAGTGCGACGTTAATAACGCTAGGGGCCAACACAGCCTCCAGGGGCTACGAGGCAAACAATAATGAACGCATAATGCAAGGCATGTTTTTATCCGACCCTGATGAAGACGCAGCCGAGCGCTAATTCCTCCTTTAATAGTTAAATCGCCCGCTTATCGTTGCAGAATGAGCTTTCGTGAGGCTGTATGCTGTTGTCAATGCTCCACCTAGCGCGAACTTCCATTGCCTGGCACGCATAAAAGCAATACAAACCAGACTAAACCACAACAGGCAAAACCGTGCCTGCAATCATTCCACCAGCGAAGACACGGCGCAGTTTAAAACAATCAAATCAGTTCACTTGGCGAATCCCGTCTCGTCAGAGGACGTTCATACAGGAGGTTGACCTGCAAATGACCCGTTTTTCTCAGTCAGCTCACACAATCGCCGCGGTATTGAGGTCATCACAGGCTGCCGCCGCGGGCGCCCTACTGACCTTGAGGCTCGAGCCGGCGCGCCGTCGCTTCCGACGAGGCTCTCCGCCCACCGCGTCGTTCTCAACGCGGCCGTCGACGGAGACTGGAGCTGCTGCGTCGCGCCCGACGGCCAGAGGCGATGCCAGGGCGGGGGCGGAGCAGGAGGCAACGAGCGGCCGGCTGCCAGGGGCGGTGCCAGGATGGGGATGGGGGAGGAGGCGGCGAACGCCCAGCTGTCGGGGGCTGTGCCAGGATGGGGCGGAAAAGGAGGCAGCGAACGCCGGGCTGTCAGGGGCGGTGCCAGGGCGGGGGCAGGGGAGGAGGTGGCAAGCACCCGGCTGTCAGGGGTGGTGCCAGGACAAGGCGGAGAGGAGGAAGCAAGTGGCGGGCTGCTAGGGGTGGTGCCAGGACGGGGGTGGGGGAGGCGGCGGCGAGGGTCCGGCTGCCAGAGACGGTGCCAGGACGCGGGTGGGGGAGGCGGTGGCGAGCACCGAGCTGTTCAGGGCGGTATCAGGACGAGAGAGGGGAGTAAGCAGCCGGTGCCCAGCTGCCAGGGGCGGTGCCAGGACGGGGGTGGAGGGGCGGTGGCGAGCGCCGCGCTGTTAAGTGCGGTATCAGGACGAGAGCGGGGAGTAAGCAGTCGGTGCCCAGCTGCCAGGGGCGGTGCCAGGACGGGGCCGGCGGGGAGTCACAAGGTGCTAAGCCTGCTTCTCGCTCGTCGAGTAGTTAGACGTTACCAGGATGACGTAGGAGACAAAACCACGGGGGGGGGGAGCACCTGGAGTACGTGAGTTCCGGCATGAACCGGCGTGAACGCCAAATGCGTGCCAGCACAGAGGCGACATCAGGGCTTTGAGATGGGGGCAGGGAAAAGGCAACCGGACAAAGCTTGACGCCACACCCACTCCTGACCCACTCCCACACCCACTCCTGACCCAGTCCCGCACCCACTTCTGACCCACCCCCTCACCCACTCCTGGCACTCGCCGGTGGTCGAGTGCCAGGCGCGGGCGTGGGAGGAGGGGAGGGGAGCTGCGACTGTTGGCTGCGCTGCGCTAGACGCCCAAAGGGCAAGGTGAGACGGGAAGCCGAACAGGTGGCTGTTGAGTCACCGCGCCAGAGGATCACAGGGCTGGCAGCTCTGTTGTGTACTGTCGATTTCTTAAGGACGTTATTTGTTTTGTAAATGACCATGAGTGAGTCGACAGCTGCTCGAGCGGCGCCGCAGGCTCTGTTTAGTGGCGGGTCGTAGTTTTACATTTACGTTTAGTTACATTTGACGTAGTGGCAAGTACTAAGTACGCGGCATACTTGTCCCACGGCATAAACAGCTTGCCGTCACCTCACGAGAGAAGAGGGCAAAGCCAGCTCAGTTCTGAAGACATCGCGCTGGAGAAGGAGTCAACGCAACCACCGTATCTTGAAAATCTTAGGCTAAGGTGGACCAGGTGACACCCATTTTATAGCGCATTTTTAACTCTAACTCGTCAGGTAAACTAGAAGGCTGAATGAGTATCCCAGAACATTGGCACTTGCTTGGTTGTTTGTTTTATACCGTCCAGCTATGCCAAAACACCGCTCACAGTGGCAGGCCGGCTCGGAGTGTTCCATCACCAGTGCAAACACCAGGACCTTGGCTCGACTCTCAAGGAACGATTCCAGTTAATATTTCGATCTCAGAATCTGCTGGTGTCTGGAGAATCAGCGGATTGGATGAGGAGCTTCGGACGAGATCTGCCGAAGTGGAAGCCATCACATGCAGAAGGCACCAATCTGTTGCAGCTGCGTCGCGCCGCTGGATGACAGGGGCCTGAGGTCAGCACCAGGCGACAGTAGAGGTCTTCGAATGGAGATGACTCCAACTTTTTTCGGATTTACGCTCTGGCTGGTCGCATCATTGGTTAGGCATGGAAGAACATGCACGGCGTGAATGACCAGGTTGACACTAAATGCGATGCCTACGTTGAAATTAGATGGTAGGTGCCTCTCTCTCTTTCTCTCTCTCTCTCTCTCTCTCCCTCTCTCTCTCTCTCTCTCTCTCTCTCTCTCTCTCTCTCTCTCTCTCTCTCTCTGTCTTTGTTTTTGTCTTTGCCTTTGTCTTTCCGCTTCTTTTTCTCTTTCTCTGTCTCTTTCTCTTTCCTTCCCTATTCCCAATCTCACTGACTCTTTCCCAAACATAGTACCCATTTCCCTTTCCCTTTCCCCATCCCTCCCTCACTCACTCCTTCACTCCCTTTCTCCATCCATGGCGTCCCGCTACGTATGCGAAACTGGAGTTTCAAAATCAGAGTTCGGTAACGCATGATGGGAATACATTTCCAGTTCATAGGTTAATGTTCATATGCAGATTATGTAAGCTGCAGCTCAGAGGACGAACTTGTTCAACAATGAATACCACCTTGTCGGGAATCGGTCACCAAATATCATCATACATGACACTCCTTTTGTCTTTGTCTCTTTTCCTGTCTACAGACCGGTTTGGCAATGCGTGAAATTTCATTACTTCGCCAGCACATCTCCAGCGCCGCTGCGAGTCCAAACATTATCCCCCGGCTACTTCTCCACACATCCCCGCTCGCCAGTGCTACTTGGAAGTCACCAACAAGCCCTTGGAGCGTTTCTCCGAAGCGTTAGGCAATCTGGGCCGAGTGCCCGGCTGCGTCCCGGCGGCGCCTCTGTTGACGCCGGCGCGCAATCCCCGTCGCGACACTGCGCTGCGGCGTCATCACGGAGCGATGACGGCGCGACGCAGCGTGGTGCGTGTGTGTCATCACCACTGAAGCTGGTGCCAGCAGCCCTCAGCCGGTCGGTAACTGTTCCTATAATACACGTGATTTCGGAGTTCTTATGATAGCAGTACTCGAAGTTCAATATACCAGACAGTTCTAGTCAACAAGGATCTAGCTCAACAAGGTTCACCAGAATCGAGGCGAATTGGACTCCCTTACCTTACAAGTGTAGTCACGTACCTGGCGCACGCCCATGCGATGTGATGCGATGATGCAGCGGAGGCGGTGCTGAGCTGCAGCCAGGAGGCGTGGAGCGGCGGGAAGCGTCATAGTACGAAATTACGCGGACAATGCATGACAACTAAACCGGAAACGGCAATCACATATCATAATATAGCGATTGAATCGCGTGCTTTAAAGGAAAAAGTTCTGGTAGGGAAAATTCTCTATAAATAATGAAAAAAGAGTATTTGGGTGCCTATTGAATGTTTGTGTACAGTGTTAATTTTTTGTTTAAGGACGACCAGAACACTCAACTTTGCATTGCGTTTCTTCGCAACGTGTTCCTCCGTGCTTGAGGTATCGTACACCAGGTTTTGTACGCAGACGTTCACACACTAGCATTCGTTACGCATATCGGCGTTAACAAATATTCACATTCAATTAACTACATGCGCGAATCCTCGCGCCCACAAATCTCCATGTCCGCAGCATTTGGATACATGTCTCTTCGTATCGCAGTTCTTCGTAAGCGCCTTTCTTCGCATGCATCCCTTCGTACACGCATTTCTTTGTATCCCATTTATTGCTTCACGTATCTCTTCCTACTACCTTTTTCACGCACGCCCGTGTCGCATTTTGTGCATGTCATGCTTTGTATTGCATTTTTTCGTGTTCTTCTTCGCAGAGGTATTTATTCACATCTCACTTTCCGCGTACTCAGTTATTGGCATGTAATGCCTGTTATTGAGAAAACAACTTTTTATGCGTAAAAACTTAGTTATTGGACGAAGTTCACTTATCATTAACTTTTCCGCGATGACCCTTTCATGACCCTTGTGATGTGCACGCACACCGAAAATGACTCCACTCAGTGTTGTGATCGAGAGTTGGTGTGGAGTTCGGCGTTTCTGTTTCTGCCGTCGCTTCTGCATTCCACATCTCCCCTCATATCTAACTTGTTATACATGTCATACATATGTGGCCACATTACCCCACTGCGTCTAAAGTGATGTGCAATCCATAACTTGGCTGATTGGGATTTTCTAACACACCATTCCTACCAATTCCCATCAGCCCATGTTATGCATCACTTCTGACGCAATGGGGTAGGGAGGTCAGTGATGTATGCCATCTTGGACAAGCTAGACATTAGGAGTGATGTAGAATGCAAAAGAAACGGCAAGTCTCGCATACCAAGCATCAGCATGACCAAATGAGGGATGCATGAATTAATCCGTGCCACCAAGAGCAACGTTGGGATTTATCCTGATCCGAAACACAGGGTTTGTAAAGCAGTGTATTGGCCAAAGCTGTACATACATGCACAAAATCGCGGCTTAATGGTCCATCAAGTGCAATGAAAGAGTAAACGCCAGCTGATCTCCTCGAAGCAGCCACAAACAAAGTGAATGTGACTTTGACAGCTGCCTCGTTGCTTGCTGAGTGCCGGACCAGGCCAAGATGTAGTGAGTTGGTGAAGTGATGAAGCAGTGTAGTGACATAGCTGTGCATTGATGCAGCAGCACAGCAGCAGTGTAGTAAAGGACGGAAACCTCGTTATGCATGAAGAAGGTGACGGACAAGCTACCAGCGCCATACACTGGATTTTTTTTACTGCATTACCTGTCAGGAACATACCCCGATGGAGGATATGTGTTGTGGCCGCACCTAGCAGCCGCACGATGTGTCTGTGAGGTACTCCAGCTCATGGAAAAGTCTAGAGTCCTCCCCCAAAGAAACGACTCAGTTTCAGCCGTTCCAAAACTTCTAGGGCTTAGTATAACAGAAAATGGAGAGGGAATTTGCTTCGTCCGACAACGAGCTGAAGTGCCGAATTCGTCGGTTGCTGGCCGCCACTGACGAAGGGGTAGCGCGCGGCAGGAGGAGGGCAGGAGAGAGCGCGCGTACGGCACGGCACAACGGCACTGCAGCACGCTACTCCATGCCGCCGCGGCATCCAATGAACCGTGGTTTTGATGGTCTCATATCCTTGTTCTTGATGATGGCATCCAATGAATCGTGTTGCTGATGTGCGACACTCCATACTGTCAGGGCATGAAGTTCCCTGACGTTAAAAGGCAACGCAGCTCCTATTCTTTGAAGGTGATCCAAAGAGTAAGTACCTGCTT